TACGTCTTTGATAATGGCCGCCGTGTAGGTAGCCGAAACGTCAGAAATAATTAAAGAAATTTAATCTGGATGATCGTACAATAAACTAAATTAACAAATATATAGTGTTAGTGTAGGTTTCCTCCTGTAGTAGCACTGGATGAATAACATGTTGATGGGCCTCACTGAACCTCTAGAGAAAACAGTTTGAAGTGATAGTATAACTGTAAAGTTACTTTAGTTTGTATATGCTCGAACTTCGAGGGTTTTTCTCCCAAAAAACCAACTCTTAGAAATTAGTAGTGAAGCACGTGTATCGCGAGCCTCTGATTCGGGTGAATTGGGCAACCACACCCTGTGTGTAATCGTCATTAAATAAATCATTATCATTCTTATAAAAAAACAGGAGGCAGTTCACGAAACTGTCCCGAACGTTGATCGGAAGTTTTACGAAGACGTCGCCACAAATGCAAACAAGTCTGAGGAAATATCAACTGAAGGTCAGTAATATCACAGATTAGATATTAATATATATATATATATATATATATATATATATATATATATATATATATATATATATATATATATATATATATATATATATATATATATAAAATAGTTTGTGTAGGGTTATAAAAACCAATGATAGAGTGCTCAATGGATAACCAGAGCATAATAGAAAGACACAAAAACTTAGCAAGCTTTGTTTGGCATATTTATTACTATACAGTTTCGTACCACGTAAATAACGTGGCACTCTATATTTATATATATATTTATATATATATATATATTTATATATATATTTATATATATATATATATATTTATATATATATATATATATATATATATATATATATATATATATATATATATATATATATATATATATATATATATATATATATATATATATATATAGACCACCAGGGTTTATAATCTTTTGTTTCAAAAGGCAGGAAATCAGATCACGAAGAGGTTGAAGTACCATCAAATGCACACAAGGCTTCTGGACACACTGAACTTAATAAACGACCCGATACCTTGAAAAGAGGGGCGATAGGCGATGGTGATTATCAGACATTTTTGAAGCAGGACGACGGATACGTAATACCGGCTCCGAAGGAACCACAACACGAAACACCATGTCAAAATGAAACCTGTGAAGAGCCCAAATTATCGCCTGGCTGCGAGGAGCTGGATCAAAGCAAACTCGAATCAGAAATGGAATAAGATAAGTTTTAAGAAAAAAAATGTAGAACATAGTCATAATTTATTGCCAGTATGATTTTATTTAGTTGACTCTAAATGACGAAAGTACTTTTTTGTTGTTTAATACTTCGACAGAGGTTTTGTGTTGGAATATTTTTCCACACAGATCCAAGTGTTGAATAGTTATAAATATAAAATTTGTGCAGCTCTAAAAATATTACTTTGTAGTAGCGAGTTTACTAAATATTTGTAGAAATTTAAAATTTTAATAAATTTGTAATGCTTAAATACATGAACTTCCCCCTGATTTGTCATTTCAGTTTATTTCTAAGCTCCCCCCCTCCCCCCCCCCCACAGGTACCGTTGCTATGACGACATGGGAGTTTATAAAGCTTCTGCACAGCGGTATATCTCATTTTGCATAAAACATGGAGGCCTTGAAAACGGAAACATGACGTTGCACGCAGCC